GCCAAGTAGTGCAGCGTTGCAAAAATCAGGTTAATGAAAGTAGACACAGAAGCAGGGACAAATCTAAGGAGTCATCCTTTCTATTTTGCCAACAAAGAACAGAAGTTCCAATAATAATTATGCCTGATATAAAATATTAGTATGAGTCCGGTGCAGCTCAAGCAAAAAGAAAACTTTCATTTCTAGGACAGCAGGTTTCAAGAAGTTCAGGCTTTCAGCTATTTTTAATGAAGATGTCAAATTCAAAGACTTGCCAGCACTAACTAATCAGCCTCATCTCCAGGAGACAGACCATGTTTACAATCCACTTCCTCTTTCAGATTTAAGTGAATGTAAGGGCCTAGCAGGGAATTCTCCATACACAACTGGCTAGAACATGTGGCGTGCAGAGGACTTGAGTTGCCTTATGTAGTAAATGGCCCAAATCTCTTTCCACTTACAACAGTTCCACATTAGTATCACTGACTCATTTTCAGCAGAACTAATCCTAAACCAGACAGGAGTAAGGGATTCGAGAACAAAACCCTTAGGACACAAACACCCCACACTATGCACGTTCCCACTAGGACAAAAACATTTGAGCTTCTAAAAGTTGCTAACAATCCAGGAATGATTTAGTAAAGAATCTCAAACAGTTGGTCTTTTGATAAGGTGTCCCCACAGCTCCTACACACACGCATAGTAAAAAATCTCATCAAGCGCAGAGGTAGAGAGAGAGAGATGTAGTCAGAAGCTGTAAAAGTTCACACTTCAGAGGATCAAACTAACACAATCCATGCGCTGCTGGGCCCTGTGTTAATTGTTTCTTTTAAAAATTAAGAAATAAATAAAACAAGGGCTGCAAATAGCTTTGCCAGGGAGACACCAAAAGCCAAGCAAATTAAACGATTTAACCATGGGCTTTATTAAAACAGACATTTTATAAAATGTTCTTACATTGCATTTTTTTTGCTTATAAACTATTCAAGTCTTCAGATAAGATTGTGTGATTTTTTTCCCTCAATATATATTCCAGTCCATTTCTGGAGCATAGTGTGAAATGTAGATAAAAGCTCAGCAGGTTAACTTCTGTAACAGATTCGCTATAAACACAGACACAAAGCCAAGATTAAGTTAGCCTCTTGAGAAGGCTCATTAAAAAAAATGATCTACCCAGTACTTGAAACAGAAATTAAATGAAGGCAGAATACTTGGGGGGGAGGGGGGAGAGAAATACAGAACGGACAGTACAGTATTCTCCCAAATATATGGTTTTTCCCACATCAGCTAGCCACCTCCACCAAATAGGTTTTAAAGAAGCTGAACACTTTATAAATTGTCTCCACATGAACAAGCCTTCAGAACAACCACCAGTTACTCTATTTTCATATGATACAAAATTTACTGGTGGGGCAGCAAAGCATTTTTTTCTTTCAGGTGAGCCCGGGGGAAAAGAAGCATATAGATCAAACCCAGCTTAATTTATTTTTATCTTATTGTTCCCATAGCAAACCACAGAAAAGGGGGAGACATCAAGCTCATGCATGCAGTGCGCAGCATGAAGGTCTTGAAAACACTGCTCTCCCTTGTCTGTTCTTGGAGTACATGTAGGAGGCAGGCTTGCTGCAGGGAGGGAGAGTAAGCCACTCCAGTACCATTAGGGGCTGCTCCAAAAGATATTTCCATTTGTTTGCAGGGTTGGGATCAGACAGACAGTTGGGTTAAAGTGATCCATCCCTGACTGTTCAGTATCACAGAGTTTGTGAAGAGCCAAATTGACACACATTATAATAATCAAGATTTTTAAAAAGTAGCTTAAGATTCTAGGCACCTCCATTTTTGGGTGCCTAAACTCAAAACAAATTAAAGTGACCTAATTAACAGAAAGTGTTCAGTTTCTGCCTTCTGAAAACTGGGGTATTTATGGTGCTTCAAATTGAGTTCCCCAAATCACCAGTCACAGTTGAGTCTTGGTCAATATTTATTAAGTACTAACTGTGCAAAGCAACGAACAGACCCCTGTTTAAATAACCACCTAACAAAATCATCCTCTAGGGCAGCAGATGATGACTGTAATGAGAAAGGTAGGTACTATATTTGGGTTCAACAGTGGAGCTCACCTGAATTCCTAGATTTTTGCCACCACAAAAGAGTCAGTCTATTTTTTTTATTGTACGAGTACAAAGCATAACACACTGTAAGAAATGCATATCCAAAAGTCTTTTACAAATGTCTTCTATAAACAAAGGGGGGGGAGGAAAAAAAAACCCCCAAGAAAAAAAATAGAACGCATAAACATTTTATGTTGTTTTGTCTCAGAGCTAAACTGTGTCCAGAATGCTCTTTTCAACCCCCCCCGTCCCCAGTTTTCTACACTGATCTAGTAAACAATAAGGAATTTGCAGCCTTTGGACATTGTAGGACTCCCTCCCTCTCCCCTTTGCACGCCCCCACCCCCATTAAGTTCAACACAGAGCAGCAGAACAATAAAAAAAAGCTATCGCATTGTAAATTTATGTACCATGCATAGGTTATGGAATGTAGTGCAATAGGGCACTAAGCAGTGATAAAGCTGCATTCCTTACAAAGTTAACAGCTTTTTGCTCATGATTTGTATGTGTGGGCACTGCTGAATGACCTTCAAGCTTTCCAAGACCCACAAGAAGGCACAACATTAGACAGATTTATTTTTAATCAGATGGTTGCAGCTCTATTTTAGGGACTAAACCTATAGTTTTCTTTCCCTTCCAATTCTGATGCAATGGCTTGAAAGAGCAGTTTTAAATTCTGCTGTAGGTAATGAATATAAAGGAGCAAGAACCTATGGTCTAAAAGGGTGAATTTGACGCTTGTAATCTCCAGAAGAGCTCTGAAGGCAACTTTAGAATTCAAGTCCAGCAGGGCTCAAGGAGTCTCTATCCAGATGATTCACATTGCTGTTTTTTTCTCAGTAGGAATTTTATAGTCAAATACCATTTAATACAATAACCTCTCTAACGTACATCTTGCATAAAAGCAAGCTGAGTTTTGACAGCTGAGATATATTATTCAGAGCAGAGAAATGAAGTTATATAGCTGGCAGCATAGTGGAAATAATGCAGGAACATATTTTCCTCAAAGGAAATCCTCTACAACCCTTGCTTTAAACAAACCACTCTCATTTATGAATCCTGATTTCATTACATGCCAGAAAAAGGTTATTTTTTCGTGAAAATGCCTTACAAAACAAGCTAAATTAGACTATGATACAACAATGCAGTGTACAAAGACAATATTACAAAGTCAACTGGCAGCTATGTATTGTACCAAAAAGCATTCCCGGTACATAACTAATGAATGGACAAGCACACTGCACATTAATGAATCAAGACGACTGACATCAAATTACCTGAAATATCCATACCATGGTCCCTACATTTCTGAAAATCTAACCCTAACTCAAGCTACATGGGGTGACAGAAACAAAGAGACCGCTGACCAAAACTCATGTGTTAGGATATGCAAGAAGGAGGAAGCAGCTTATTTATCCAAGACATTTTGAACAATGAGAGTTGAAACACAGCAAGTGCCAAAAGCCAAATGCTACAGGGAAAACATCCTACAGTATTCAGAAGTTATTGAAAAGATACAGTACTGAGTATCTCCAGGATCTACTGGCTCTGAAAACGTCTACAAGTTACAGTGAGGATTTCTTATTTCTGCAGGATCCGCTCCCCACCATAGATGCACAGCCCGCAGCTCCATAGAACATCTTCACTAAGCCTCCAGGGCTAAAAGGTGACTGAGAAATCCTCCAGCAAAACTCTTAGAATACCATCACAATTGGGATGCTCTCCTTGTCACGGCATTGCAATGTTTCTAGGTCCTGTTATGAACCAAGCTACTGGCAAAGAGAGGGTTAACTAACTAAAGATAGAGCAGGCTTTAAACAAAACAGACACCACTGATAGAAGCTTGCAGGTGTCTGGGTCTAGCCATAAATTTGCACACAGGTCTGCCTGGGAGGTTAATGGTTTGCTAACTGGATTCCAAGGGTCACAGATTAGGTTTTTGCCAGATTTGAACTTTGAAAATTTTTCATTCCAGCCCTTCTCTGAAGTCTCCAGCAGGAGCAGGACAGGTCAAGGGGGTTTTGTTTACAAGTGCTCACAAGCACCCAAAACACAATGAGACCACAAGGGAAGGCTGATCAGATGCTGTCCCTTTGGACATGTGCCTTGGCTCACTGCTCCTACGAAAGCCAGCTTGACAGCCACCCAAGTATATTAGGATGACACATGTTGAAACTTGCTGAAATGACTTGGAAAGAAAAAAAAAAAATAGGAAAAGAAAAAAGCAGCAGCAATCACAACAGAGACAACAAAGATAATGCTAATACCTGCATGCAGCCGATTATGAGACTAATGAACATAGGCAGACAAGACACCAGTGATGCCAAAGCATATTTCCCCTCCAGGGTTTCCAGTCAGTAAAGCATGGTGTACATCTGTATGGGTACATACATAAAGTGTATTTATGTACATGCATCTATCTATACACACATACTTGTATATATACACACGCACACACATCTATCTATATCTCTCGACATAGATACAGATGTGTGTGTGTGTGTGTGTGTGTGTATAAAGTGTGGCATTTGCAAACGGTAACATAAGATCCTGCATCGTTCTAAGAACGAAAGCGGCTGTAAAGGGCTGTAGCAAGAGCAACAGTGATTTACGTTCACTAAGGAGATTGCGTTATGGTATTACCAGCGATAGCAATCAGCCAAAAACACAGCAGCTCCTGAAATGAGAGCACATTTGCCAGGTGAAGGGGAATAAGAGAAACCACCGAAGATGGTTTAAAGAAAAAAGAGCCACTTGTGTTTCAAGGGCCAACTTTTGGTGGGTAACTTGTCCTCAAGCTAAGCCGGAGGGGGTGAGAGGACAGCAGCGTGGCACACCGAAGATGACAGAGGGGCTGCAGGGCTGAGGTGAGCCTTGAGGTGCTTTGGAGGCGGCCCAAGGGAGGCTCACCTGGGGGCCTTGGCGGCGCTGGCGCTGGCGCTGGCGGGGGGGCTGTCGCGGCGGTCCAGCACGCCGGGCACGCAGCTGGTGAGCTCGGTCCAGTCGGCGTGCAGCCCGCAGCTCCAGCCGGTGGAGAAGCGCGAGAAGAGCCAGGTGTCCTTGTCGGCGCCGGGCCGCGGGCAGCTGCCAGGGCACCTCGAGCCGCACGTTCTGCACCAGGTGGCGGCCGAAGGTGGTGCCGCCCGTCTTCTGGATGTGCAGGAACACGATGACGCCGTCGCCCTTCATGTCGAAGGCCAGCTCGCGCGCCAGCTCGCGCACGGGGAAGTAGTACTTCTGCACGTAGTGCGGGTCGGGCGTGGGGAAGAGGTCGGGCGCCTCGGCCGCCGCGCCGCGCCGGGGGGGCGCCCCGCGGCTCAG